CCGTTAATTGAAAATTTTCATTTGAAAAAAAACATCAGCAGCAACATGAAACTATCTTGATTGAAGGATTTCCCTTTTTTCAATTTCAATCATCACGTTACCAGGTGAATTTCAAAGTTTTTTTTTCATTGAAATTTGATTGATTGACGTCAACAACAACAACAACGAAAACAGAAAAAAAAAGACATTCAAACCACAATATTTCACGTGAATCAATCAAATGTTGATAATTAATTTTTTTAATTTCAGAAAAAAAACACACACCAAAAATCATTCATGAATTTTGCTGGGGAAAAAACGACAACAAAATTGACACTTATCGATTATCAAACTTACATCAAACAAACAAACATCATTGCCGTTATTATTTTGTTTTTTTATAACTAACTAGAGAAGGGAAACAAACCAACAAATTGATTTAACGATTGATTTAATCAACAAAGGATTTCCATTATTCAACAATTTTTTGAATGTTTGGGATGAATCCAATCAATTATCGATTAAATATGATCAGATCAATGAATTTCTGTTTTATCATCATTATTCTGTGAAATAGGAAATGAATCATCATTTCAAGGAAGATTCGAAATCCCGAATGAATGATTCAGCCTAAAAAAATGAAGAAATCATCATTTACCACAATGTCATTAACCGGTTGAAAAATTTAAACAAATGAAATTTTATAACCTACCATGATTCGACCATTCTGGTCATTGATGATGATGATCGATTGTGACATTGATGACAAAAGAAAAAAAGTTCATCACACCATGTAACCAAAAATTGAATCAACCAACAAACAAAAATTCAGCTATGAAAACTTATTGATGATGATCATTATGATTGATTGATTGATGTGAAAAGTATTGAATCCACACACTTTATCACATTCAAATTAGAGTTTACATCTCTGAATATAGAAATGTTTTTTTGTTGATGATCGATGTTTTGATGTTCGCATGCTCAAATCAATTGGAAAAATGAAATTATTTTTCTTTTTCTGTCAATGTTACTGAATGATGATGATTATTATGATTATTGAGGAAATTGTAGTTGTAACTGGGAAAAAATAACCAATATTTTTATATATCATGTTTCCTATAATGAGATTTGTATCGAATTTCATTTCATTCATTCATTTGGCATTGACAACAAAATGATAATGATGATGATGATATTGATTTTGAATTTGGTTGACAGAAAAAATGATGAACATTCTTTTTCGCTTCATGATGGATTGAATGTTTGTTATCAGATTTCATTGATTGATTGATTGATTGATTCGTTTTTCTGTCAAGAAATTTGATTTTGAAAAAAAAATTGAAATTAAAAAAATCGATTCGAATCCAAAATCGATTCGAAAAAATAAAAATACCAAATGGCCAGACATCTGGTGGCCAAAAAAACAGAAAAAAAACATTTCTTGTTCGAATTTCACAAACATCCAATAGATGGCGATCAAAAAATGGTTTTGCAAAATTCAAAAATTTGATTTTTTTTTTTTAAATTTTTTAAATTTTCTAATTTTAATTTTAATAATAAAAATAATAATTTAATTTAATTACAAATTTTGGTTACGAAAAAAAAAATAATAATACTCAAAATAATAAATACAAATTCAGATTCTTTTTGTAAAAA